TGGACCTGTATTTCACTTCTTGAAATGGTCTATGGTGTTTTATTATGGTTGAAGCATCATGTTCCTAGACTTGGAGCAAAGTCATTACTGGGTTGGGGCTTTCCATTATGGCTGATGTTTTTCGGATTTGTATCAAACCCGTCGTTTTTGAAGAGCAAACCTGCTTTATCATTTTGTTATATGTTTTTCTGGGATCTGCTAGTTCTGAGCGGGGCTGTTGCTTTGGTTGAAGAGGTTTGCAATGGCTTTAGATCTTTTAGGAAGATTTTTCAGTTGTGCTTAGCCAAGGTGGATTTTGCTTTTAATTATCTTGCGCGCATTTTAATTCTTTGTGTGGATTTTGGCTACTCTTTGTTTATTTTTGATTGTCTTCAGCAGGGCTATGTTACTACACCCAATCTTGTTGGTAGTAGTATTATGGTGGTGTTTGCATAGCTTAGTGTTGTGATGTTTAGCATCGGATTGTTGTCTTTTTTGTACCTAGGAGAGGCTTAACGTGGTCTCAGTGTTTGTTTTGGTGTAATTGCAGCAGTAGAGTTTGGTATGGTGTTGTACCTTCTTCTAGTTAAGAGTACTCTTTTTCTCTATTTAGATATAAAAGGATTTTTAACGAGATTCTTAACTTAGGCTTGATTGATAAATTTATCTTGCCGATAAAAAAAAAACAGAATCAATAGTGGGGACAAGTGAAACATACAAGCCCAAGCTTAAAAAAAAGGTTCCTGGTTAAAGGGACAAATGCAATAGCATCTCCCATGTATGCTCCTCAAAACTAGGAGATTTAGCTCTTACAATCACGTAAAACTTCAACAAGTCATTTCATTTCTACTGATTAAAGGGAAGTTAAGATTAAAATGAAGTCTTTCCAACAGTTAATAGTTTAAATTTGTCACTGTATATAATTGATGGCAAAAGTTCAGCTATGAGGTAACTTACTATCAACGTATAAGTGAGCAATGCTGACATATGATTCCAACTATAATCATCCAGTTAAACTGTTGGAACATAGAAACAAACCATCTTGCGAATCAATTTCACATAGATCCCTGCCTTTCAATTTGAAGGAGATGTTAAACTATCGAAAATAATTTTACCAGATATATTCCGGGAAAAACAAATTTATTATTAACTTCTATCTTACTCTTACGACGGACAACGAACAAAAATTCATTCAAGTCACTTATTATAGTAAATACTAAAATGTTCAGACTGATTATTGGCTATGGGATCTCCCTGAAATAAGAAACTCCTCTACAAGCAAAAGTCATTAAATATGAAGTAAAAAATCGATGAAACTGAAACTAAATGTAACTTCTAGATTAATTCTATAGAGATATATCTTAAGAATATTCTAAAATAATATTTCTCTAGAAATATCAATAAAATAACTTAGATATTTATAATATTTAATATTACATCTAGATTTATGTGTAAAAAAATCTAGATATTTGTAAAGCTAGTATAACTAAGACGTTGACATGTGTCAATAATCCAATGATCGCTAAAATCTATAAATAGGGGGTTAGAGTTATCATTGTTGATAGAGTGAAAAATAGAAAAATAGTGAGGTAAGTGTGTAATATTATAATTGTATTTTGAATTAGTAAAAGTGTTCACTTGTTTTATAATCATAAATTTTCTGGTTAAACATTAATTTTTTTTTTTACTTTATTATGTATTCGTGTTAGTTTTAGTATATGATTGACTCTATCACCTAAATAATATACAATCGACCTTGTTGTTTAAGTATTATTATGCCCCTAAAAAGTTATAAAATAAAAGTTTAACCAACATCAAAATATTATTATAGTAATAGTGATAGATTTTAGATATTCTACAATAAACATGTTGGGTTTGTCAAACACGACACAAAGGTAAGCATGACTCAGAATGATGTCTTGTCAAACTGAAGTAGCATCAATGTAAACAACTTATCAAACCAATTCACATTCGCCAAAGACGAATGTCAACCTAGCCTCAGAACAGTGTCTTCTCAAGTTTAAGTACATCAATCTAAACAACTTTTGAAAATGATTAAAATTCCCAAGCCACATCTCTTCTCTGCGTGTTAAACAGTTCAATACGTGCAATATCAGAGCTTAGTATGAAAACCAAAATCATTCTGGCAGTGCATATGTTTGTAGAAAAACCCTTCCCGATCATTTCCTCGATGAGTTTGATTGCTTATGAGGTATGATGCTGTCGAAAAAAACCCATGGATTAAGATATTGTAGAAAACCCATGAAGTATAATGTGTTGTAGACAACTAAGTTTGATTGATAACCCATCTTGGTCATTCTATGGAACAAAATCAATGTCTCAACAATCCTGCCTTGCTTACAAAGTCCACTAATTAAAGTTGACAAAGTTACAACATTAAATTCAACACCTAATTTCTAACATTTTCTCCATAACAGAAAAGTCATAGCCAACTTCTTCTAATTGACAAAAAAATATTAATCAATATGCTAAGAGAATAAGTATCATGAGTAAATCCTACTAATTCCATATGGCTACGCATAGAAACAATAGTGGCCATGTTTCTTACTTGAGCTTCAACGTTGGTATTAATGGTTTTTATAGAACGAGAAAAAGCAGAGTGGGAAATAGAAAGGTTAAAGAAATGAAGGAAGAAGTAATGAAGAAGAAAGCCTACCCATAATGTTGAAGTTTCTCGAAATGGAAGAGCAGATGTTGAGCTTCAAATGAAACCACAAATGAGTTGGTTAAAAACAAGAAATTAAGCCTACTCCTAAAGGGGAGTATGAGAGTGGTTTTATGTTTTTTTATATATATGTTTCTTATACATTGGGATTTTTGAAACGTATCTTATTTTAATTTGAAGTTCAATTAAAGAAGTGAATTGATTTATTTGTTGGAAACATATTAGAATAAACATTTAATTATCAAGACTAAAATTAAATCCTTCCATTTTAATTTGAAGTACAAATTTGTATCACGTATGTGAAATTTTACGAAATCATATTCGATGTATGATTTGATATTTTAAATTTAATTCTTCTTTTAGAATTGGATATTCAGACACTTACTTTGTATTGTGTGTTTAGGGTCTGAGATTAACCACATGTATTTTTCATTCTAGAGGAAATTATTCGGATAGATCGGATTCATAAAGTTTGTCAATATCATGATTAAATGACATATTTCGGATATTCTGACAGTGAAAACATGCTTGTTGAATATGAAAATATATATATATATATATATATATATATATATATATGGTAATATAAGATTTGTATTCAAATGAATTTAACTTTCAGCTATATGGTTATGGTGTGATTTTGTCGATTTGGCTATATGGTCATGGTATGAGTTTGTCAATTTGAATATAATATAACTCCTAAATTCGACTTAGATGTTACGGTCGGATCCTGAAGGTTACATTAATCATTGAAGTGATCTGGAAACCAATTCAAAAAATTTAACAGTTATAAAAACATATTCAAAAAATTTATTCAACTTTGATCATGTTAACATAAAATAATTTAATAAAAAGTAAATTAAAAATCGAGATTCCCATCTTCGAGATGCCGATCCTAATGTCTGTCCTGAAATATCTGAAAGGGAAAAATAAAAGGAGTGGAGTTCAGTTCGGTCAAAATGTGTGGAAAAACAAAATATTCAAAAATTCAAACGAGCATACACAACAAATTTGGTAAAACAGACAAACCAAAATGGAAACGAGCTAGTAAACTCTTAATTACCCAACCATCCGCTAAACTTCACAGGACGAATTCCCAATAGCCCGTAATCAATCGAATGCCAAACAACATGCGGTAAAGGTTGATGGTAGTTGAACTTCGGAATTTGTAAGTGGCCCATTAAGCTTTAAATAAGAAATTTAGGTCCCAATAGGCCACATCAGATCCCACTATTTGAAATTCCTAAACCACGCACGACCCAAAATAGTTTCCATGTGTCTCAAATTTATATTAATTTATCAATATACTCACAAGAAATTAAGAGCCTACAGTATATTTAAAATAACCGAGTTGAATATTTTTAAAATATATTTTCTCAAAAATTTTACTAATAATAAATTTTAAATAATAAGATGTTATAAATAAAAATTTTAATCATAAAAATTAATAAATTTTAATTTTAATGAAATAAAAGGAGTAATTCGAATAATAAGATGTGAAAGAAAAATGAAGAGAAGAACAATTATTATTCGTACAAATATATTTATTCGTAAGTGATAATTAAGAAAAATGTGAGAGAAGAACAATTATTATTTTTGTCACATTCTGTGAGAAAAATGGATAAATCCGTTAATGTAAAAAATATCGTATATGAAATCGAGAATTTTTAAATATTATATATATAAATTTAAGAATTTGATATATTTAATGTATGAATGAAGTAATTAACCCTTGAAATATAATAAACAAGAGCTGGCGGGTCAGTTACTCAATCCTCGGCGTCCAATTGTTGGGAAATTAGACGGTGCGTAAATAAATTGATTTTCAAATAAAAAATCTAGATGAAGTGTTAACCAAAATAGATAAATAAGTAAAAAATTAATTAGCATCCCTTATAATAAAAATAAAGTCTTTCGTCTCATTGCCTAGCTCCATTAAAATAGTCAAAACTTAACCGGATTAACTAATCTTAATAAATAATACCGATTAAAAATTATTTAATTATATTATTTTTCGTAATAAATCTATAACAATAGCTAAAAGTTGTCGATATCTTCCAATTTTACGACAAAAAACGTGTAATTAAATTTGTTCGATGGGGTAATTATGGGAATAGCCAATTTGTTTAGTTTTTCTTTTTACCAAAATTATGTTATTTTTTTTATAGATAAAATGTGTATATTATATACAAGGAAAATACAAACCGATAGTATCCGACAAAACAAGATACTCAATTTTCAGTAGGCGCTCACTATACCTACTATAGACTTTAAATTGAATTATCTCCCTAATGAAACCCACAATTATATCCCTTGTTAAAAATGTAGAAAGTATTAACTGTTGCAATACAGTTATGTAATCTGTTAGTTTGTTGAGTTTGTTAGATTTCTGTTACTGAGTTAGTTATAGGAAGCTATTGTGTATATAAGGACCAATTTGCTGTAATTGAAAATAAGAGGAATAAAATGATATACTGCCCAAATGTTCATTGTTAACATGGTATCAGTTTAGCCCAGGTTATTTGTTTTTGGGCCGTTTTCCTCTACTCTTTGCCCGTGGCTTTCTTCTTTTTTTCTCTCGTCTAAATTAGGTCTGGTTTTGGGCGATTTCTTTCGAAGAAATGGACACTCCTGACGCTGCTGCTACCACCGCCGTGCTCGACTTCAATCATCCTCTATTTTTGCATCCGTCTGATACGCCGGGCGGTGTTCTGGTCTCGCATCGTCTGGTTGGCATCGACAATTATACCGTCTGGAGCAGATCTATGAGAATCGCGTTGCTGGCCAAAAATAAGTTAGGTCTCGTTGATGGCACCTGCTGCAAAGAAGATTATGATGAGATCCTGCACTCTCAATGGGAACGTTGTAATGCGGTTGTTTTGTCCTGGATTCTTAACACTGTAAGCAGCGATCTCTCGGCTGGAATTGTATTCGCTTCAAGCGCTGTTCAAGTTTGGAGTGATTTGAAGGAGCGCTTCGATAAGGTAGATGGATCTCGAATATTTTTTTTACATCGTGAAATTGCTACCCTAAATCAAGGTGACTCAACAGTTTCGACCTATTTTACGAGATTGAAATTGTTGTGGGACGAATACCATGCCCTAGTTCCTCTTTCAGCCTGTAATTGCGAGGTATCTCAGCAGAATTCCAAACACATCGCACAACAGAGGTTATTGCAATTTCTTATGGGCCTAAATGATACTTACTCAGCCATTCGTAGCCAAGTTCTGCTTATGCAACCTCTACCGAATGTAAATCAAGCATATTCCATGATTGTACAAGAAGAAGCACAACGAGCTCAGTTATCTGGTGTTTCGGGTGCCACTGCCATGTACTCCAATGCATCTGGAAATTCAGATCGTAGGCGATTCAATGGTGTTTGTGATTACTGTAAAATCAAAGGTCATAAGCGAGACAACTGCTATCGTTTGATTGGTTTTCCTCCAGACTTCAAATTTACCAAGAAGAAGAATTCTCAGGCAGCTTTTGCTACTAATCCCTCCCTGGTTGACTCCAATCATGATTCACATGATTCCAGCATAGTTAATACTTCTCCAGTTTTCACAGCAGCTCAATATCATCAGATTCTAGAGCTCTTGAACAAAACTCCCTCGGTGGATGCAGCAGTCAACCTAGCAGGTATTGCTTCCTTGTGCTCACCTGACTCTTCTAATTCGTTTCGTTGGATACTTGATACAGGGGCCACTGACCATATGGTGTCTGAAATCCATTGTTTGCAATCTCTAACTTCATGTCAGCCTAGTTCTGTCCATCTGCCCACTGGTAAAACTGTTCCAATCACCCATACTGGTAGCTTTCATTTTAACTCAGTTGATATTATTCCAAACGTGTTGTATGTTCCTAATTTTCATCATAACTTACTGTCAGTGTCAAAACTCACTAAAGATCTCAACTGCAGTATCAGTTTTTACCCTCATTTTTGTATTTTGCAGGATCTCTTCACTGGGAAGATGAGGGGGATTGGTAGGGAAGCTCGTGGTCTCTATTTGTTCGACTCTAAAGACCTTGTTTCTGGTTTGTCCTTTACAAATATTACTTCTGTTTTGTCATCATCCAAATGTAAAGTTGATTCTGGTTGTATGTCTGTTTCCTGTGACAATAATACAATGCTTTGGCATGCACGTTTAGGGCATGCTACTTCTGTTAAAATGCATAAAACTCCATTTTTGTGTTCTGTCCCATTAAATGAAAATTCTGTTAAGCAATGTTCTGTTTGTCCTCTTGCAAAACAGTCTAGGTTACCCTTTCCAATTAGTTCTTCTAGGTCACTTACACCTTTTGATTTAATTCATATTGACTTATGGGGTCCATATAGAATATCAACACACAGTGGTCATAGGTCTTTTTTGACTATTGTAGATGATCATACTAGGTTCACTTGGGTTTACCTGTTGAGACTTAAGAGTGATGCAATTATCTTCCTTAAACAATTTTTAATCTTGTTCGAAATCATCATTCTACTTTAGTTAAGTATGTTCGTAGTGATAATGGTGGTGAATTTTTTAGTGATAACTGTTCTGAGCTTTTTTCATCCCTTGGTATCATTCACCAAAGCTCTTGTGTTCATACACCCCAACAAAATGGTGTTGCTGAACGAAAACATAACATCTTTTAGAGGTAGCACGTGCTCTTAGATTCCATTCTCATGTTCCTATCAAATTTTGGGGTGAGTGTGTCTTAACAGCTTGTTATATCATTAACAGACTTCCTACTGCTGTTCTAAACTGGAAAAGCCCATTTGAAGTTTTCTATAAAAAATCACCTAATCTTTCTCATATGAGAGTTTTTGGTTGCCTTTGTTATGCAACTAAAGTCAATTGTAAGGACAAATTTCTCCAAAAGCCTTACCTTCTGTTTTTATGGGTTATTCCTCAACTCAAAAGGGATATCTACTTTTTGATCTTCATACAAAGTCTTTTTTTGTTAATCGTGATGTAGTCTTTCATGAGACTATTTTTCCTTTCTCAATTCCATTAAATAAGCCTTCTCCATTTTTCCTACTCAGTCCTTCATTGATGATTCTGATTTTCTTACTCTCGAAATTTCTGCACCTTCTCATCCTGTTGATTCTGTTTCACCTAATTTGTCTTCTCCTTCTTCCTTCTTCTTCTTCTGCATCACCTCAAGTCTCAACTAGTTTGCCTACTCCATCTTCAATTCCATGTTCTGGTCAACTTTCTTTACCACAAACTCAGGGTCTGGCTCAGAGAAGGTCCACTAGGATTATCAAACCCCCTAATTGGCTACATGACTATGTTCAATCCTACCAATCTTCATCTCTTCCAAGTAAGTATCCTATCTCCAATTTCATTTCTTATTCTCACTTACCTTCTAAAACTCAAAGTTTCTTATCTTCCACTTCTCATATAAGTGAACCAAAAACCTATATTGAAGCCATCACCAACCCTATGTGGATTAAAGCCATGAAGGAAGAGATTGAAGCTTTGGAGTCAAACAACACTTGGTCAATAGTTACTCTGCCATCAGGGAAAGTTCCAATAGGCTGTAAATGGGTATACCGAATCAAGTACAAGGCTAATGGAGATATTGAACGGTTCAAAGCTCGCCTTGTTGCTAAAGGATTCAATCAAAGAGAAGGGGTTGACTTTGTGGATACCTTCTCTCCAGTTGCTAAACTAGTCACTGTTCGAACTGTCCTTGCCATTGCCTCCATTTTTTCTTGGCCTCTTTATCAAATGGATGTACAATGCATTCTTACAAGGTGACTTAGTTGAGGAAGTCTATATGGCACTTCCTGATGGTTTTTGCAGCCAGGGGGAGTCTAAGGTTGTAGGCTGCATAAATCACTTTATGGACTAAAACAAGCCTCTAGGCAATGGAATTTGAAGCTAACAGAAGCCTTACTTGTAGCTGGTTATATACAGAGCAAGTATGATTATTCAATGTTTACAAAGCAACAAGGGAGTGATATAGTTGTTTTGTTGATATATGTTGATGATCTTTTAATCACTGGGAGTAGTGAGAGATTGATAGCAGAATTGAAACACATTTTGAATGAGAATTTCAAAATGAAAGATCTTGGGGAGTTGAAGTACTTTCTAGGATTAGAGGTTCTAAGATCAAGGGAAGGGATTGTGCTGAATCAAAGAAAGTATGCTTTAGAGTTGATTGAAGAGATTGGAGTAGGGGGAGCTAAACCAGCTTTGACTCCTCTTGAGCAAAATAAAAAGTTTACTTCAGCAGAGTATGATGAAGCAGTTTGTAGCAATGAAGAACTGTTGCAGGATAAGTCTGTTTTTCAGAGACTTATAGGTAGATTAATATATCTGACTCACACAAGGCCAGATTGTCTATGCTGTACATTTCCTCAGTCAATTTATGCATAAACCAAAAAGGTCGCATCTTGAAGCTGCTCTAAGAGTGGTAAAATACATCAAGAAAAATCCTGGACAAGGGATTTTGCTAAGTGCGAAGAGTGAGTGCAGGTTAATTGCTTACTGTGACTCTGACTGGGCTGCCTGTCCTATGACTAGAAGGTCTGTAACAGGTTTCTGTATTAAGCTTGGAATGTCTCTAATCTCTTGGAAGTCTAAGAAGCAGAACACGGTTGCGCGTTCTTCTGCAGAAGCAGAATATAGAAGCATGGCAGGAACCGCGGCAGAAATTATATGGTTGAAGGGTTTGTTAGCAGAGTTAGGCTTGAAAAACTTAGCACCAGCACAATTAATGTGTGATAATAAAGCAGCTTTGCAAATAGCAGCTAATCCAGTTTTTCATGAGAGAACCAAACACATTGAGATAGACTGTCATTTTGTCAGAGAGAAGATTCAAGAAGGCTTGATACAAACTAAACATGTCAAGACAGGGGAGCAACAAGCAGATTTGATGACAAAAGCCTTGGGTGTGCATCAACATGAATATCTAGTTTCCAAGTTGGGGTTTAAAGACATCTTTGCAACCACCAACTTGAGGGGGAGTGTAGAAAGTATTAACTGTTGCAATACAGTTATGTAATCTGTTAGTTTGTTGAGTTTGTTAGATTTCTGTTACTGAGTTAGTTATAGGAAGCTATTGTGTATATAAGGACCAATTTGCTGTAATTGAAAATAAGAGGAATAAAATGATATACTGCCCAAATGTTCATTGTTAACAAAAAACACATTCCTGAAACATCTATTATTTCGTTCCCTCCAAACATAGTAAATAAAAGCATTCCAAGCCAATATAAAAAAATAGTGGCACGAAAGGACTTAACCCTAACGTGAACACACACCCAAGCAACCTCACCTTCCCAATCTAGAACTGAACGACGAATACCACTAACACCCAAAACGATCATTCAAATCTCAACTGAGAAATGGCACCCACAGAAAATATGGGATCGAGTCTCCTTCGCAGCATTACACAACGCACAAATTCTGTCAACACTCAACCCTATACGAATAAGCCTATTCCGAGTCGGAAGACGGTCGAGCAAGGCCATCAAAGTGATAAGAGAGTGCCTAGGAACGTGCAACGCAAACCAAATCAAGTGCTGCCACAAAACCCTCACCTTCCTAGCGCAGATCTCACCCCACACCTTCCTAGTTCGGCAAGCATCAGCTCCCTCCAAAGCCCTAAAGACAGCAACCACCTCATCTTTATAGGACAAGACCTTCCTTAGACTCCATCTTGTCATGGCGCTCAGCAAGAAACTCCACAGATCAGCCCCCTAATTACATAAGCATGAATCCACGCGACCCGGAGAGAACCGTCATTCGGAAGTAGCCTCCTGAGCAACTGAAAGAAGAAAGCCTTATTCCAGCATTCCAAATCCTTCAAGCTCAACCCCCCTCGGATTTGAGGGAACAAATCTGACTCCAACCTACTCTGGCACTCGAGGTCGCCACATCCTGCCTTTCCTTTACGTTCTCAATCAAACTCCGACAATCATTCTCTTAAATGTTCTCACCGAGCATCCTAACACACACAGCCTGCCACTACTATCCGGGTTACTGTCCATTACCCGGGGCCTCTACCACCCCCAGCAAACGAACCATCTAAGCCCCTACCCCAAATCAAGGCTTCCTTCCATAGCACCACACGCTTTCTCACACCAAACATACATCATCCAACGTCCCAATACCACAAGTAATCGTGATTCCAGAAATACTTTTACATGCCGTGCACAATCAATAAATTTTAAGGATGAACAAACTATGTAACTAAATTAATTTTCGAATTCACAACCAGACTCGAGCCTCGAAAAAAGATGAAGGTGACTAAAGAGTTAAGGATGCACCCATGATAGGTCGCAGTCTGATTTCAAAACAAACATTATTATTTTAAATATCCACGCCATAAATATCTATAAAAAGATATTGTCAATCATTCAAAATGTAACACGTGACTAGTTTATAAATATTTTAAAAAAATTATTTAAAAAACCTTAAAATTATTATCATTTTCAAAAAACCTCAAAATATTTTTGAAATCTTAAAGAAATCTCAAAATTCATTATCCCGAAGTATCAACCTCACTTGTCCGTCGTTGCCACCCTCATATACTGCCACCCACACGTAGCCAAAATCATCCAAAATCTTTAAGCCCCGAACCGTAACACACATCCATCTTAATTGATGAGTGAGTAACCAGCGGCGGGTGAGTGGGCAATCGTTGACAATGACGATGATTGACGACAAAATTGAAGGTTTTAAGAATTTTTTTTAAAAAAGAAAAAAATAAAGTTATGATTTTTTAAAAAAATAAAAGAAACAAAAAAAAATCAAGCAACATGTAAAATATTGATTAGTTGATTAATTTGTAACGAAAATTTTTAACGTCTTTTACAATGTAGGTATTAAGATGATAATATTTGTAAGTTAGACACCTATATTGAAAAAAATGTTTAGATATCTAGATAAAAATAAATATAATTTACCAAAAAAAATTAAATATCTAAATAGAAAAAATATAATTTAATATTTTTTTATTAAGCAAATAAAAAAAATAGTAACGTAATCAAGGCAGAAAAGAGGGCTATAAATACTATAATTACAAGCATAGTCAGAAGCACAACAATCAAAAAATATTCCCTTTTATTGCACACTGCTCTGTAATAGTATTTACCAGCTTGTATATGAAGGACGGAGATTTCCCGGAAAAGATGTTAGATGGGGTGGATTATACTCTGGAGATGATGACAGCAGAGCCTCTTTCCGCCAGGAAAAAGAAGAACAAGAGGAAATTTTCCGATGAACAAATCAGATCATTGGAATCGATGTTCGAATACGAAACCAGGCTGGAGCCTCGAAAAACGATGGAGGTAGCTAAAGAGTTGGGGCTGCACCCACGCAGGTTGCAATCTGGTTTCAGAACAAAAGGGCTCGCTGGAAATCGAAGCAGCTCGAACGAGATTACGCCATTCTTCAACAAAATTACAGCAGCCTGGCTTCCAAGCTCGAAAGATTAACTAAGAAAAGCAGGCCTTGGTGATTCAGGTACTTGACTATTAAACAAACTTTGCATACAAAGAAAGTAAACAAATGATTATATCGAAGTTGTTTTGGATTTTGATTAACAGTTGAAGAAGCTGAACGATTTGGTTAAGAAGCCGAAAGAGGAAGGCGAGTGTTGCGAGCAAGTGGAAGTTATAAAGTCTGATTCTAAATGGCAGCTCAGTTTATCGGTGGAAAGATCGGAACGTGCACTTGGAGGGGCATCGGACTATGATAGTGCCACAAAGATGGAGTATTTTGGAGTGGAAGAAGAGTATAACCTTATAAGCATGGTGGAACCAGCTGATGACTCTTTAACATCTCCAGAAGTTTGGCACAGTTATGACTCTGATTGTCTCTTTGGTCAGTCAAGTTGTGTTTATCAGTGGTGGGATTTTGGGTCATGAAAATTGAAATTATATATATATGGTAAGGAGGAAATGGGTGTAAATCCAATATATATATAATTTTTTTATAAATCCAGCTTTCCTGGCGTGCTTCACTTCTGGCCAGGAAATAGAATTGGAGTTCACTCAAACAGGACCTATACCATTTCCAATTATCATTCAAGTAAATATTTGCTAATCATACCATTTGTTTCATTTTGTTGTTTTAAACTTTTAATGGTCAGTTGATTGTGTTTTGCACAAAATTTTCATTCTGCAAGATATTCAATGGGACTGGTTGGGCTATGAGGAAAAGGAATGAAATTTGTACCATCTTGGAAATGGGGATTCAACGAACTTCTAATAAAATTTGTTTAATTAATAGCAAGATTAAAGCAATATTTTAAAAAAAAATATATAAACAATAAATTTCATCCTTTGTATTTAAAAACTTAATCATTTAGTCTTTATTTTTCTCTTAAATTATTTATTCTTCTCTAAAAATTTATATTATTATTTTGATATAATTTCCGTTTGACAATAACTTTCCACTTTATAGCAGAATGTAGATATCTGAATGTTATTTTGATAGATTCGTTTAGTTTGACAATACCACAAGTAGAGACATACGAAGGAATTTGTGTCAAAGGGTACGAACATAAAAAATAATATTAAACTTCAAAGAGTGTGAAATTAAATAATTCATATAAAATACAAAGAAATTTAAAATTGATGAAAATAAAAATAATATTAAACCTTAAGGGGGTGTGGTCCTCCTCAATCCATCTCTGACCACACCCCAACACTCCTCAATCCATCTCTGAACACAAATAAAAATAAATTGATGAAAGTTTTAGTGATAACTTATCATTACTTTATATCATAATAAAATTATCCATTGTTCTTTTATTGGAATCATTTGATTTCACAATATCATAAACAAAAATATATTGTAATTTTTAATATAATTGATTAAATTTATTAATTTCTGTAGAGTTAAAATAAAATTAATATAATGTTTAAATTTTAATGACTAAATATATTATTAAAAAATATTAAATATATTTGTATTTTAATAATAAAGTAATTTTTATAACAATATTTTAATAATTACATGATCCTAACTTTTAAAAAAGAAACGACATATTTATTAGCAAATATATAATTAAATAAATTAAAGTACATTTTGTCCTATAAGAGAACACATGTGAAATTTTATTCGCTAAATCTATTTAAAAAAGAAGTCGTGGAAGAGAGAAGAGATCAAGTGTGGGACAGATAGATCCAGGATGGTTCACATGTACTATTGAAAAGGAAACACGTGTCAAGCTCCTTATTGGTCAAGCGTAGCCAACTAAGATAAAATTCAGATTCTCCCAGACATTTATATGACAAGCCTCGACTCAACCCTTTCCACTCGCCCCTCATTTCCATTCCCCCGTCTTCTTCTCCTCACAACAGGTAAGACAATCCATTCTCTACTTAGTTTATTGTCTGAAATTTACCTCCTCATATTATTTTGTTGTCTGGAATTTATTTTGTCATAATCCCACTATTCTAACTCTGAACTTTGCTGTACTTTTCTGGGTTTTTTTTTAAAATTGTTTTCATTATTATATGTAGTTGATGGAGAAAAGGTTTTTGTTTTCGAAGACGTGGCAAAGAACAAGGAAAGGAATAATTGTTGGCTATTGATATCTGGAAAGGTTGAGTTTTTCTTTGCTAATATGATTTTGGGATTTTCCCTCTGCTTATTTATGTAATTGATTTAAATTTTATAGCTTACTTTTGGAATTTGACAACTATGTTGAGTGTTCTCTGTTTTAGTATTAAACTATTACCATCGAACTATCAGATTTTCCCTTTCGATTAAAAAATTTACAAGTAAGCTGCCTTTATCTCGTGTCCCATCTGTTTGCGTATTAATTTAACTTATCGATGAAATTCACGATAGAGCTCAATGGTGTATTAAAACTTGTATAAATTGAATTCATATTGTAAATTTTTTGTATTTTGTATAGGTAATCTATTTATCTCTAGAATTTTAAAAAATTTGTTCCCTAAAATTTAAAAATTCATATTCTTATCATAAAATTTTGCTTTTGTCCATGTTGATGGCAGTAATGTTGACTTCATTGTTCAGAGAACCAATTTTCTTTTTCATCCTACTGTATCAGGTGTATGACATAACCAAATTCTTGGAGGACCATCCTGGAGGAGATGAAGTCTTGCTAGCCGCTAGTGGTAAGATGATATTATTGCTGTCCGCTGACAATTACATACAGACAGGATAAATACATGAGTTTACATCAGAGAGATAATTTTTAAAATTTTAGAGTAGAACGAACTTGTAAAATTTAAGGAACCAATACATATTATAAACAGAAAATATAAAGAGAATATTTAAAATATATGATAATTTAAAATTTTTAGGGACGACTGTCCTAACCTCTCGGTTCATCCCTGCCGACGTATCGTATTTCTTAGCTGGGTTTGATTCATCTTATTGATGCAGGAAAAGATGCGACACAGGACTTCGAAGATGTTGGTCATAGTGATGATGCAAGAAACATGATGGGGAAATACTACATTGGTGAGGTTGACAGCTCGACTGTTCCTGCACCAAAGAAGATCAAAAGGGAGCCAATTTCAGTGACTCATAAAGGCGATGAATCTGGGTTTCTGTCTAAAATATTACCGCTCTTGGTTCCCCTCTTGATCTTATGTTTCGCATTCGGTTTGCGCTTCTTGGGGGAAAAGGGAAAAGCTGAAGCTTAGCTTTCCTACCTTTTCCCCCCATTGTTGAACATTCAAAAGGTGTGCGGCTGCTGATAATAAAGTTGGTGAAAGCTGTGTTTGTTGTAACATTCAATGAATATCTTCTATTTGTTGCTAATAATAACGGCTTGACATGTCTCATTCTCAATCTCTTGCTACTGTTTCTGATCATTTATATCAAGTTTTAATCATCTTGCATAAAGTAACAAATCTTTGAATTTTAATCCTTACAAACATAAGATTTTATGTTGCGTTGTAAATTTAGAAAATTGTATTAAAATTTTAGAGTCGTGAAATTATATAATTTTAAAAGTATAAAATAAAATTATTAATAAAAAATATATAAGAAATTGAAATTTTCAAGAGTATGATTCTACCTCAACACTTCTCGATTCATATACAATCTTATGATAAAGGTGAATGTATCTAAGAGGCCTTTGTATTAAATGGGGTGGATCAAATTGGTCCTTCTATTATTAAATGGGTCAATTTAATCTCTTTATTATTGAAAAAAAAAGATAACTAAATTTAAAATTTTAATTTAGTTGGATTTTGTCATTTTAAAAATACATAATGATAAATTGATCGAAGATCATGGTGGCAACCCGGCAGTGATTTTTATGATCATTATCTTAAGAGAGCATTGTTTTATTTAAAAAATTTACCTCAAGGTTTCTCTAGAATATTTTTATCGAGTTCTGTTGATTTAGTCGTTGTGATTTCAGAACATTTTTAAAGTACTAGATTGGTACTTGCACCAATTAAATACTTAATGTTAAAAGAGAGAAATCTCAAGGATTGAACATGTTGAGCTATCCACATACATCATTGAGTTGCATTTACAATATCGTGAACCCCGTCGTCGGTCCTACTCGCAAACTCTCACTGTCATTGCCTCGCTTTCTTCTACCTTGAATTCTCCAAGCACGACCCTGAAAAGCCATCGCCACCGGTGTCAAAACTGGCACCGAGATACTCCTCTCACTGTTGTTGGTGACGGCGAGATTCGTTTTGTGTTTTATGAATGGTTGTCGAAGCGTGGTTTTCTCAATTTAAAAATGAATTAGACTTAAATTATGTTTAAATCAAAATATTAAAATCAACTAATGATAACTTTAACATTTTAAACCAAAATGTAACTTTTTTAAATGTACAAAGATTAAATGTTCAAAGGTGCAACAATTGGTCGTGAACGTTTACAAATTGGCTACTTACTTTTTGCCGATGATAGTGTGCTCTTTGGAGAAACAACTATTGTGGGAGCCATCAATATGAAGAATGTGTTAAATGTTTATGGTAATTTTTCTGGACAAGAAGTTAATTTCGACAAATCGTTCCTTTTCTTTAGTAGTAATGTTGAGTCAAGCGTAAAAGAGCAAATTGGTCGGATGTTGGGGTGCGTATTTCCTCCAATTCTGAGCGATACTTGGGGCTTCCAACTATGCTTGGTAGGAATAAAAGAGAAGCTTTTAGCTATTATCTGGATATTTTAAACAGGAATCTTGATAATTGAGGTGTTCACCTCCTCTTATTGTTGAAAGTGGACAAATCCACCGAATGTTGAAAACAAAATCAACAAGTTGGCAAAACATTTCGGTGCCAACCAACATGATATTGTTGAGAAAAAAAAAATTAGGCACCGAATAGTGCAACTTTTGTTGAATTTTGGTGATGATAAAATTACACTTTTAGTCATTATAATTTAGGGTATTTATAAATTAGTCCTTAAGATTCAACTATAAATACCCTAGCTCATTTAGCTTCAAAATCATCTCAAAGCATTCTAGCTTTCTTCCAATACTAGAGAGAATTTAGAGAGTTTCTTGAGAGTTATTTTTTCCTTTTTATCAAGAGAGAATTATCATTGTTTTCTCCTTGGTAGATCGAGAGAGGTTGTAATTCCTATTTTCTCATAGTGAAATTCTTCTACCGTTACCCATGGTTTTTTACCCTAATAATTTTAGGGGTTTTCCACGTAAATTTTGTGTCTATTTTATCTTCATTTTTATTTTTCAAATTATCAGTTGCGATTTTGCTCTATCCGATAGCCGTCTTCCGCAACAATTGGTATCCGAGCTAGATTAGAGTGTGTAATATCTGCTTATTGTCTTTGTGGTTGCCACCAAAAGGTGGATCCTCCAACATAAGAAAGTAAGAAGTTATTACCCATTCTTTGAAGGTTCCATAGAACTATTCACGATAGTGAAATAGTGGGAGCTATCCATAAACGAAGCAATTGCAACGAAATTTGATATTGAAAAGTTCAATGGGAGAAATTTCTCATGGTGGAAATTGAAGATGAAGGCCATCCTAAGGAAAGACGGGTGTCTAGCGGCTATCAATGAAAGGCCGGTGGATTTCGCAGATGACATCAAATGGAACGAGATGGACGGGAATGCTATGGCAAACTTTCATCTAGCATTAGCAGATGATGTAACCCCCACAGACCGATAAGGGTAACCAAATCCGATCCGGGGTGTCACATTAGGGCCACCGGAGCGACCCACTGTAAAAATAGCAGAAAATTTAAAACTTTTTATCAGAACATGCAAACTTATAAAATCATTTGTCGCTATTTAAAAATAAAACAGATTTTCAGACTCATATATAAATCAAAATACAATTACATGCCCCCTAATCACATGTACCATACTCTGCAACAACGCCGAAAGAACTCCTTTACTGAAGTCGATAGATGCACTGGTACAATTCTTTTAACCTAAAAAGGTGAGTAATAGAGTGAGTTTTGGAAAGCTCAGTAATACAAAACTACCAGATGATGCTGAAGAACGTGCAAATATAGATAAATATACATTTCCTTATTGGTTCAGATATTTACAGATTTTTTTACTGAGCAGGGATCCTACTGATATTTCAGGTGCTAACGGACAATGAGCTTTCAGTTCAGATAAATAATTTCGGATGACTGAGTTCAGGAGATCAGAATAGGTTATCTAGTGTGTTCCCAAAAACCATGTAACTTTTCAGATCTTTTTAAAACATATATATATATATACCCCCATCCGTCACGAACAAAATGTGTAGGTTCCCCAGAACCATACAACCCCATCACGAACAGTAAGGCCCTGAGCACAAAGCCGAGGAGCCTCCAAGTAATCTTCCTCCAACAATAACCCCCAATAAAACATGTTCCGTACGTAAACGGATATATCAAAAATCAAAACATAATTCAAGTCAAGTATTATATCAGAATCCAGGTCATGTATCAGATCAAAATCCAGGTCAGGTATCATAACAGAATCCAAATTTGAAATTAGATAAAAACATTCATGTAATTAGGGAACATACTAGAGTTTACAGGTATTATTTAGAGGTACTGTATCAGGCAGAGAAACACAGTTCTTCAGTATGTCGATAGAATGTTGGAATTTAGAATCACTATTGGAAGAGTTCATTAACTGACAGAATCATCAGTTATTTAGAATGTGAATTATCAGGATATTATCTTATTCAGACAGTTTTCAGAAGTTGTACGTAATCAGAAGGGTATTCAGAATCCTTTACATCCATGTCAATTGATCGGATAATCGAACAACTTGATAACGAAGATTCAGAACCTTAACAATTTATATCCACTGGTCAATTCATTTCCCTTCTAGGGTATTTACTTTTTAATACCACAAATTCTTGTTCATAGATCACCTTCAGAATCATCGCTGAATAGATCTTCCAATGATCTTTATTTCATTTCCAAGCTTCCACGATATCATGAAATACTGACGTGCTTGATTTGTAGTTCATGTTCCATAAGGACAATACATCTTATAAACTCATCAGAATTTCCAGACTTATCCAATTCACTTACTTAATCCTCGATCATTGAGGTTACTTAGCTTATTTAGCAGTCAAATCCATTCCAGTTACTTCAGGATTTTCCAGAGTAATTCAAACGTTCCTGAATTTCAGATACATGTTGTACTTCCATTCCATTCAATTTGGCCTTCGTGGTTGATTGTCGAACAAACGTCCAATTCTTAGTACTGAATACAATCTAGAGCTGGGCTGAGCTGAATACTTCCAAAATTTATCATCAAGCCAAACTTGAGAAGACAAACACATGTTCCAGTAATATCTATGCCATTCAGGTATTGACATAGTTTTAGGGTTGATCTACTCACTTAAATTGTTTCCCATTACTTTTAAAGGTAGGCCAATACCTATGCTTATTTGGATTCCTTAATTAATCTAAGGCATTTACTTGGTATAGGTCATGAGGGTATTTTGGAAATTTTGGTGTTCAGTTTTATTCCATTCATTTAAGAGCTCGAGGATATCCAATCATTCCTGAGCTTGGTGATATTCTTGGGTCATTTCCATTACAGGGGTATTTTGGTCATTTTACAGATCTATGGTATTTCAATATTTTCTTGCCATCCGATCTTATTATTTAATTCAATATTATCATTTACTTCAGTTCTTTCAAACAATTCTAACAGCAGAATACCCCCGATAAATTACTCTTCAAGTATTTACTCATTATTCGAATATTTTCGGGTCAAGTGTCTTCTCAGATTTTACAAACGGAATATCATAAATTTTTCTGTACAAAGACAGGATCTTAACAATTAAATTCGTACTTAATCGAGTTAAGTACAAATCCTCAAAGTACTTTCTCATTCAGGGTCAATTCAGACTATTTTATCTCTCAAGGGCATTTTTGTAATTTCTTAACCAGATAATTTCGATATTAGCTCTTAACGAAAATAATATAATATAGAGATCCTATGATTAATTGCTTCCTCGAACATTCTTTGATCTTGAAATGATTCCTTAAAAGACTTCTAGTATCTAGCATAAACCTTCTTGGGGTTAAAAACCGGTTATCCATAATTTCCAAGTAAAACTAACATTTCTTATGTACATCAACAGTTTTAGTAGATCAATAATTCTTTTCAGATTTATTAATCCACTTCCAGAGACAATTCTTGTCATTTTCCAACTTAAGGATATTTTCGTAATTTTACCCTACCGGAGTATTATCATAATTTCCCATCCAAGTACCTTTAACATTTAACCTTTGATGAAATAAACTATAAGTTACAAACCCATGTTGATTTCTTTATCACTAAGCACAGAACTTGTAATTTAATTCTAACAATCCCTCAATTTCTTATAGAAATCATCTGA